ATGAAGTCATTGCATGTTTTATGGGGGTTTTCTTTTTTTCTGATGGAATTTTGAAGCACTTGAGTCTTTGCCATGGCATTACCATGATCCTTCAAAAAGGTCAATAAAAATAGGAGCCTAATGTGCTGTGTTATTATGAAGAACAATTTTGTTTAAATAGAGGGACTTGTAGGATTTATGCTCATCTCAGCGTTTAGCTACTAACAAATTAAGGTCAAACCTGGTTAATTTTAATAAATGTGCATTTTAATAACACTACCCAAGGTTGTAAAAACAGATTGCTTGTCATTTGTGTTTTTTGCATTATAGTAATCTTAAAAAAGAGGCCTTGTTGAGTGTTTCCATGCTAATAACTGAATAGTCAACTAACATATTGTTAATTGGTATTCTAAGTAGGAGCCTGAGCAGTAAAAACAAAAAAATAAATATATTTTTTTGCGGTAATACGGTATACTGCAGGATCTAAAAATAGCAACGTTATCAGTTTCAATACAGTTATATACAGTCATAAAACACAATGCACTTACACACTGAAAAAAAAATATTCAAAGATGATTCCTTGGGTTTACTCATTTTTTTACGTTTGTAAACAATTTATTTGGGCTGAATTTAAACGAACAAATTAAGTTGAATATTTAAACTTAATTTGTTTGTTTAAATTCAACACAAATAAATTGTTTGCAACAGTTCTGCATGCAACACTTTTTTCAGTGATGCAGTTGAAGTCAGAATTATTTCCTCCCCTTTGAATTTTTTTTCTATTTTAATTATTTCCCAAATTTTGTTTAACAGAGCAATTAAACATGATGTTTAATTTTCACAGTATGTCTGATAATATTTTTTTCTTCTGGTGAAAGTCTTATTTGTTTTATTTTAGATAGAATAAAAGTAGTTTTAATTTTTTAAATACAATTTTAAGGTCAGTATTATTCGCCCCTTTACGCAATTCTTTATTTCGATAATCTACAGAACAAACCATCATTATACAATAACTTGCCTAATTACCCTAACCTGCCTAGTTAACCTAATTAATCTAGTTAAGCCTTTAAATGTCGCTTTAAGCTGTATAGAAGTGTCTTGAATGATATCTAGTCAAATATTATTTACTGTCATCATGACAAAGATAAATAAATCAGTTATTAGAGATGAGTTATTAACACTATTATGATTAGAAATGTGTTAAAGAAATCTCTCTGTTAAACAGAAATTGGGAAAAAAATAAACAGGGTGGCTATATTAAGTAAATAAGACTTTCTCCAGTAGAAAGAAATATTATAGGAAATAATGTGAAAATGTCCTGGCTATGTTAAACATCATTTGGGAAATATTTAAAAAGGAAAAAAAAAATCAAAGGGGGGCTAATAATTCTGACTTAACCTGTATGCCTAATATTTAAAAACCATTTACCTGAGGTAACTGTTATCCCAAGTTTCCCTGTGTCAAATAACATCAATGATAAGAAGTTGCTTACTTGTTTCGTTGTCTGGAAGCAGAGCTGGAGTAAGGAGAACCCTGGAAGAGACTGAACCTTGACGGGGTGCCATTAACTAAAGGAAAGTTAATTAGACTAATAATAACAACAACTCCTGCAGTGAAGAGCGCGAAACATCCACGCACGCGCTTCATCCTCAGATGCCAAAACCAGCAGAGTCAGCATACAGACCTCTGTAGAGCGTTTATCAAAAGCTCGAATAGAGTGTTTTTCCTCGACAGTGTGCTGGCAGTGAAATGTGACAGTGGCCAGAAAAGTTCCCGCCCAGCCGAGCGCGCGCTTATTCTACTGGACGTCAAAAGCGCGGGATCAGGTTCCCGACTCCATTAGCGGATGCCAATCAGATTTACAAGACATAATCATATCTTTTAAGAACTCCTCAAAACAAACAAATAAGAATAATTATACATTTGGGAATCTTCTGGAGGCATTTCGTCACTTTAAGTAGTAAAAACAATTGTCAAATACACATAAAGAGAGAAATAAGATGTCTCTAAAATAAATTACATCGGAATGTCGAATACACCTTACTTGTACAAAACATACAAGCATAAACTTTTATTTTAATAATTAATTAGTAAATGTTGAACTATAATAACGGGGCAAAGCAGTTGTAATCTAACATTAAACCCACATATATTTTACCCAAGCATTCATTAAAACCTCAACTTGTCCTCTACTTACTATTTATCTGAAAATATGAACATGTTTATCTCTTGCTTGCCCCAGGAAACCGAAGCAAATTTAAAATGAATCCACTTCTAGTTTGAATCCAGCTTTTTGTAATATTTATGAATCAACTCATATGATATGGACACGTTGTCTGTGATCAGCATGTAAACATTGCTTTAATTATGTTAATAAATTATGCTTGAATACCATCCTTAACTATCTGCATGATTTGTATGAATAAAAATTGTGTAGTAATTAACAGTAAACACTATAGTGCCTTTGAACAATACTATAGTAAAAAACTCAAACTAATCTGTGGTGGTAATCCTAGTAACCACTACAGTTAAAACCAGATGTTTACGTACACTCTAAAGAAGGAACATAACCATTTTAAAAAAATGTCTGATGGTAAATCATACTAAACGTTTACTATTTTAGATCTGTTAGGATTACCTAAATGATTGACATTTGCTAAATGCCAGAATAATGAGAGATTTTTTACAATTTCTACAGTCAAAAGTTTCAATTTCTTTGGTGTTTTTTTTAGCTTTGCTTTTAAGCTGTATAACTTTGGTCAAATGTTTTGGGTCTCCTTTCACAAGCTTCTCACAATAGTTTGCAGGAGTTTTGGTCCATTCCTCCTCACAGAATTGGTGTAACTGAGTCAGATTTGTTGGCTGTCTTGCTCGCAAAAGCTTTTTCAACTCAGCCCATACATTTTCTACAGGATTGAGATCAGGGCTTTGTGATGGCCACTCCAAAACATTCACTTAGTTGTCCTTAAAGCACATTTTCACTAATTTGGCACTGTGCTTAGGGTCATGGTCTGTTTGGAAGACCCATTTGTGGCCAAGTTGTAATTTCCTGGCTGATGTCGTGAGATGTTGCTTCAGTATTTCTACAAAATGTTCTTTCTTCATGAGGCCATCTATGCTGTGAAGTGGACCAGAACCTGCAGCCAAACAGCCCCACAACATGATGCTGCCACCCCCATACTTCACAGTTGGGATGGTGTTCCTAGGCTTGGTGTCATTATGGCCAAACAGTTCAATCTTAGTTCCATCAGAGCACAGCACATGTCTCCAAACATTAGTCTTCTCCCCCGTGTAATTTAGCTAATTGTAATCTGGCTTTGTTGTTGATTCTGGCTTGTTGAATTTCCCATGTTGTCACGCAAGGAAGCAGTGTGTTTGAGCTTTTCCTTAAATACTATTCTACATTTGTGCCTCCAATTAACTCAAATGTTGTCAATTAGCCAATCAGAAACTTCCAAAACCTTGACATCATTTTCAGAGGCAGAATGTAAACTTGACTGTCAAGAAAAGGTATAACAGTTTCTCAACAAATATCTCTCCCGTTATTCTGCTATTAAGCAGAACAGAAACACATGTGATAATCGTAACTTACCTAAAGTAGAAAACGTTTAATCACATTAACAGCTGACCTTTTAAATGGTTATGTGCCTTTTTATACAATGTAAACTTCTGCTTACAACTGTATATGCATACTTTCCCCCTCTTTGTTGTAGTTTTACAAAAAAAGAAAGATATTGAGAAGAACAATTGGCAGTAAAGTTCCCCAAACTGCTTTCTGCTGTTTTTACAGAGCAAAAATTATTATATCTCATATTTGTAGTATTTTCATAGCAATTTAAACTCCCTCTTCAATATGTACAACAACAAACAAAAAGCTCGAGTTTTGACTGAATATACTCTGTGGAGAAATGACTGAGTGTGTCTAACGCTCGGCCATACACACAACAACCACAGATATATTTCAGCAGCTGATGTGTGACACGATAAAGTGTGCATTATCACTGGAGTAATATAATATAAATATTATAAACCTCATGTCTGTTATCCTAAGATGCATCAATTACATTAGGTTCCCACTTTTTTCTTGTGAATGTTAAAACGGCCCTCCTATTTGAGTTTGAGGGCGTACTCACACTACGCTATTCGAACCGTGCGCAGGCCCGTTTCCCGGATCGTTTGAAAAGTGCGAGTGCTCTGAATCGGGCTCAGGCATGGTTCACTGGTGCAGTTGGAAGAGGTGGACAAGAGCGCACTTTACTTGGGCTTTGGCACAATACGCTTATAGAGTGAGTGCAAAGCGTGCCTGAGCCCGAAACTGAAGAGGAAACGTGACTTTAAGGGACAGTTTCATATGGATTTACTAATCATTCTTGTTGTTCAATGAACCCAAACTGTCCCAGCTGCACCTTTAGTAAACCTCCTAATTCCTGCAGCACGAGAACTTTATGATTGTTTATGATCGTCAAAAGTGGCTGATCTGTTCAGCGAAATATTTGGCTGTGTCAGTGCATCCCAATTGACTTAAACAATATAACTAAAGAAATCTCCACTGTGCTGAGCAAAAGAGCTTACTAAACAGTGCATCATCGATGAGGTAGGTGTGCGCATGCCCAAATAATAGTGAGTGCAGGTGGTCGGGGGGGACAAGTGTGCTTTGGCCTGGTTCAAGGCAACTTTACATAGTGTGAGTACACCCTGAGACCCCTGATCTAACACTCCTGCTACTATACGTTTTTAATGCTTATTAAATATTTTAGCTGGATCAAATTAACTTTTCTATTCATCTCAACTTACACCAGTCAAACTAGCTTATAAAAAGTTTAACATCGTTAAAGATTAAGTTAAACCTATTTTAATAAGTAAATCTGGTTTCCATGTAACAAAAACATTTGATTGTCATGACTTTTCTCATCATTTTTAATACCTGTGTGTGTGGTGTAAAGCAATGTATATATTGGGCTTTACTAAATCAGGTTTTAGTGAGTATTTCTGATTGCTGAAACAAAAAATAAGACACAAACTGTATTTGTAAAAAGCTTTTTTCCTTTAAAGAAAAATACAAAATATATATTATGGACACAGTCCAATTCTTTCACTTCTTTTGCTTCTGCACAAATCAGACACAACGAAATCTGTAAAAAATATCTATAAAAAAAACTTAAAAAGAGGAAGAAAAAAAAACTAAAAATAATCTTTTTTTTAAACTCCAAATAAAATTAGATATAAATGCATCACTTCAGTTGTCGGTCACATCATGAATCTGCAAAGACAAAACAAACAATCAGCAAACAATCAGGAAAAAGCTACAGTCAAGAAAAGAAATTTAATATAATAATATATATATATATATAAATATATATATATATATATATATATATTGGGTGTTTTACACACAATCCATTTGCAATTGCAGTGGCCATTTTCAGCAGGTACCAATAATACAACACAATAGTTATTCAAAAAGGAAAAACAAACTACAGTTGGACTGAATAGAGTACATACAAACTAAAAACAAAGCAGTGCTTCCTTACCACTTTGAATATGAATTAAGTTAATCTCTTTCTTCATTTAAGCTCACGTCATTATAAATGTGACCCTGTACCAGAGGACCAGTCAAAGGAACGCTCCACTTTTTTGGAAACACCCCTAGAGTTGAGTTCTACCATTTTTGAATCAATTCAGTCTATCTCTGGGTCTGGCGGGAGCACTTTTAGCTTAGCTTAGCATAGATAATTAAATCGGATTGGACCGTTAGCATCTCATTCAAAAATGACCAAAGAGTTTCGATAATTTTCCACTTTAAAGTCTTATGTAGTTACATTATGTACTAATACTGATGGAAAATGATATGTTATTTTCTAGGCCGATATGAATAGGAACTATACTCTCATACTGGCGTAATATTCACGAAATTTTGTTGTTGTACCATGGCTGCAGATGATGATACGTGATGCCTGAAAACAGACCCCAGCTAGGTAACAGTATGCCAACCTAGAAAAATAGCAACTTTCATTTTCTGCTGGGCTTAATACACAATGTAATTACAGAAGAGTCAAGCTTTAATTAGAAAAATTATCGAAAGTCTTTGAGCTTCAGTAAGATGCAAACGGTCTAATCCGATTTAATAATTTATGCTAAGCTAAGCTTAAAGAGCTCCCGCCAGAAACGGAGATCGACTAAATGGATTTAAAAACTGGTAAAACTCAACTGTTTAACACTGGTGGAGCTGTAAATTTAGCCTATTTTTCATGAAAAGTGCTCCTGAAAGGTTCTGAAAACTAAAATAAACTAAGCTTTTTATTGATACCACAATATATAGTGAAGATACAACACTGAGAGAATCTGAGGGTTCACTTTTTTTTCTGTGTGTTTGCAGTCAAGGGGGATCTGGGCCAGGTGTGTGAGTGCAGGGAATGATGGGATTTGTAGTTGTAGAGATTGTAGTGCATGTTTTCCAGCGATCTGCAAGGCCTAGATCACTGGTGATGATGACGATCTACTACTAACAAAAATTTGTTTAATATATTTACAACAAAAAATATACTAAATGTCTTAATGGAACATGTTTGGAGCTTGATATTCTAATGGCATAAAAGAAAGCTGAATAATTTTGTTTTACTGGCTATTTCCACAAATATACCCATGCAACCCGAGACCTTTTTGTGCTCCAGGGTCACCAATATCTTCACGTAATGAAATGCTTAAGTTATATTACACACAATTAGAAAGCGTTTCAATCAGTGCTGATTTGAAAACACTATCATGCTTTTACACTCATTCACTAAATTGAGCAGCCAACAGTATGTTTGTACTGGAATTATGCATCAATGGACACCAATCCAACAAACTCAGTCAGCCAAAAACACTAATAAGCTTCATCTAGTGTCAACGGACAGCCAATGAGGACCACCAGCTTAGTGTGTCAGGGCCTTTAAAGATACTGAAACGCTTTTATCAACACGGTGGTCTTAGTTTTACATGTTGTTGAGCAAAGGCTATCGCACTTCAGCCATTGCCAAGAAGATTATGAAGAAGGACAAAGTACAGACTCTTTACTCGGACAACCACTACAGAGGAGAGTTTGGTTCATATACAGGCTCAGTGCTTCAATCTGATAGAAAGGCACTGGATTAATTCAACATGAGAGTTTCTTCTGGTTGCATCCAATGTATTTTGATGTACAGTTGGTATAGAATAATTACAGACACCTACTAGAAACCTAAACAGAATAGTTCACCCAAAAATGAAAATTCCCTCACTATTTACTTATCCACATGTGGGTCATAACTATTATCACTGCCTCCCAAGTGGCACACTATGCACTTATGCAATGTGTACTTATGTATTTACACACTCAACAGCCTAGTATATGAATTTATACATTCATTCATTCATTTTCTTGTCGGCTTAGTCCCTTTATTAATCCGGGGTCACCACAGTGGAATGAACCGCCAACTAATCCAGCAAGTTTTTTTATACAGCAGATGCCCTTCCATCCGCAACCCATTTCTGGGAAACATCCACACACACATTCACACACACACACTCATAGACTACGGACAATTTGGCCTACCCAATTCCCCTGTACCGCATGTCTTTGGACTGTGGAGGAAACCGGAGCACCCGGAGGAAACCCACGCGAATGCAGGGAGAACATGCAAACTCCACACAGAAACGCCAACTGAGCCGAGCCTCGAACCAGCGACCTTCTAGCTCTAAGGCGACAGCACTATCTACTGCGCCACTGCTTCGCCCTATATGAATTTAATGTCGTTCCAAATGGATTAAATGGTTACTAACCGGAAATTTAAACTGTTTCCTAGATGTAAAATTTAGATGGGGTGGGGGGATAAGGGGGTGGATGGGGGGTTGAGGGAGGTGTGGTGTTGCAAACAAATATGAAGAGCGGGGGGTTTGGGATGAATGTGAAGGGCAGGGGGAGTGTCGCAAACAAAAGTGAAGAAAGGGGAGAAGGGTGTCACAGAAAAAAAGTGAAGAGTGGGGGTGGGTGGGGTTGAGGGAGGTGCGGTGTCGCAAACAAATATATAATGAGTGGGGGGTTTGTCGCGGACGAAAGTAAAGAACATTTTTACAAAAATCTCCACAGAAATAGCAAAAACTTCCTGCAGATTCTGTTTGGCCATACTGATAATCTAATAATCCATATCGTTTGCAAATATCTGAGAAATGTCTTGAAATTAAAGCTGCTCTTTGTGTTCCTTCTTGGCTTAGGTTGTTTACTTGCTTGTCACTTCAATACGTAACACTCATGCACTGATTCGTTGAACCATCTCCTTGGTGTGTGCTGGTCCTTACAATTTTGTGTACAGTGGGTATAGAAAAGAATCACCCCCCCTAAAAGTAGTTGCATTTTGTTGCATTGTAGCCTGAACTGAAGACAGACACAGTTTTTGTTTAATCTAACTGTATTTACTTAGTGCAACTTATAACACCCAACTAGAAGATATAACACCAAAATGTCAGAAAAAAATCTACATATAAAAAACAAAATTAATGGGTGGGACAAAGGATCACCCCCTTGTTTCAGCGTTTGGTTGAATAACCTTTTGCTTTAAATACATCCTTTAATCTGTTGGGATACGTTTCTACTAACTTTGCACATTTAAGCTTTGCAATATTAGCCCACCCCTCTTTGCAGAGCTGTTCAAGTTCAGTTAAATTTGATGGTGTCCATTTGTGGACAGCAGTATTCAAGTCATTCCACAGATTTTCAATAGGGTTTGAGTCTGGACTCTGACTTGGCCATGCCAGGACATCCACCTTTTTGTATCCATCTCCTAACTTGTGCTTTATCCCAGAGATCTTTTGACAATGCCTTGCCATCCATAGTTGATGGTTTGCTTCAGTTGCACTACCTGGGGTTGAAATGTTACACTAAAGCTATTTTCATGCTGAGCTGATCAAATTGACCACCAATGAAAATGAAATTGTGTTGTTTGTCGTTAAGAATATGATTAGCTACACCTGATTGAGTTTACAAGTAATTTTTAGTAGGGGGGTGATCCTTTTCACAACTGAGTGATTCTGTTTCTATGCTTGTTAATTGTTTTCTGACATGTTGGTGTTAAATCTTTTACATGGATGTCATACATTGTACTGAATTATTACACCTAGATAAAAAAACAAAAAACTGTATCTGTCTTCATTTCAGGCTACAATGCAACAAAATGTAATTATTTTGAAGGGGGGTGATTATTTTCTATACCCACTGTATACAGCCAAAACGCAAGGTATATGCACATGCTTCAAGACATCTTCTCCATTTTTTGTGCATCTCGGTGGTGGAATTATAGTGCCACATAAAACTTGAGATGATACTGTTTACTACATTTTATTAGAATGAGGAAAAGAAAGATTTGGAGAAGCAGAGTCTTCCTGTGGATGTACGGTCAGTCATTAGTGTCAGTGAACTGCGCTATGTGTCCTGATAATGGAGGACAGGGGTTGACCAGAGGTGCTGTGGGGGTGGAAAATATTTGACCTTCTTGTGTTGGTGTTGATGCAGGACTCTCTAAAGAAGTAAGAGGACTGTATGGTCTACATAGTTGGCATAACTTTGATTTAGGGCTCCTCTTGAGTCATAGTACATTAAAGGTGCTGTATGTAAGTTTTTGAATCTTCTAAAGCATAAAAATACCATAATATTTTACAGATATTTCAGAAACATGCTCAGTGATCATTCTTGTTTATGTGAAAAACAATGCTGAAGTCAGAAATTCTGCTTTGAAAGTGTCTGTTACATGCCGGAACGTCTGTCTTTGGTTTGGTCTTTTAACCCACCCAATGGCAGTTTAGTCAATTATATTTCAGCATCCCGGGTTGCCTTAGTGGAAAACCATGTATTTTATTAATTCATTCAGAAAGGTTCTCAAAGCAACGCCCATGACCGAAATGCGACTTCCGGTGACCAGTAGCATAGTCCGAAATGAGACGCAGATTCAGAGTTCCACATGAGGTAGTTGTTAATTAGCAAATGATATAAATATTACAAACGTAAACATTAGGATAAGGTGAGCAGGTCACATTGTAACCGCGTGTCCTAACAACATGCTATGTGACGAGATTTGCAGTGATAAGCAATTTGGCTGTTTGCACCAGACGAAACACAACAGAAATTAAAATACAGCCAATCAGAAGCACAGAATAGTGCACTCACTGCACTCCAGTGAAATGGTAAGGTTTATAATCTAATTAATACATATTAAACCACTTTAACATTATAAAAAGTAGATTCTGAATCACTGATATGTGTTTGGCTGAAGTCACAGTTCTGAAGTTCAATTTTAAACGGTTTATTTTATTTTCCAGATATAAGCTAAACTATCTGCTGCTGCTGCTTTCAGTAGTATGGCAATAAATGTCATGTGAAAAGGCATTTAAACTTACATTGTTACCATTTACACTGAATAAAGAAGCACATTAGGTGTACCTGAGCTGATCCTTGTTCACCTGTGAAGCAGTGTCTAAAATAAAAGTTTCTGGTGTTGGTTGGGACAAAAGCTCCTTTTAGTATGGAGAACATTTATTCTTATTGTGTGCCATTGCTTTCAGTTAGAAAACGGTTTAAATCAGCCTTATATCAGTCTTTAAGCTCGATTGTCAGGCACAGTCACGTCAATCTGGCAACCTACGCTTGCTTGGACTCGTCAGAGGAGGAGCCGAGTGAAAATGTGTTTTAAACTTTGAGTGCAATACCTAGTTCAACCACTGGGTGTAATACTTACACACCTTTAAGTTTCAATTCTCACTATTAAGCATAAAGTAAGTACATATTCTGCATGATCTCATTCTACATCCCTAACCCTACCCAATATCTACATTAACAACGATTTATCAGCAGTAAATTAGAAGTGTATTGACATATTTAATGGTTTATTAATAGTGAAAATTGCAGCCTAAAGTGTGGCCCCAAAAGGTTTCTGATTTCAAAAATATGTAATTCTACTGATTGGAATATCATGTCGTTTTTGTTCTTGTTGCGTTTAAATTTGGCTGTGTTGTGAACAAATCCTTTTCAGTAATTTAAATAAAACATCTTTGACCGAATGCAACTATTGTTATCTAGAGCTCACACACTGCGAATGGATCATGTGTGAAACAGGCGTTACACAGACGTCTGATGTACCCATTTTAAGAGGTTTGCGACGGATCCTTTTTGGAAGAACTGGTGTGTCTGAGGATTCTGGCTCCAGACTCCGCTTGACTCTCACAGCGTCAGACATCTGTTCTGGAGTTCTGGCTGCAAACACACAAATATACATAGACACGTCATCAATTCTGCATCGATATTCTCTCCATAATCAGCTCTGAGCCTAATTTTATAACGGTAGGCGGCGTTCTAGGCTAGTTTTTAACAGTAAATGGCGCTCTAGGATGGTGTATAACAGCAGACGGCGCTTTAGGCTAGTGTTTAACTGCAGATGGCGCTCTAAGCTCGTTTTTAACAGTAAATGGTGCTCTAGGCTGGTATTTAACAGCAGACGGCTCTCTAGACTAGTGTGTTTAACAGCAGATGGTGCTCAGGATTGTTTTCAACAGCTGATGGCGCTCTAGGCTGGTGTTTAACAACAGACAGCGCTCTAGACTAGTGTTTACAGTAGCTGGTGCTCTAGACTAGTGTTTAACATCAGATGGCCCTCTAGGCTAGTGTTTAACATCAGATGGCCCTCTAGACTAGTTTAACAGCAGATGGCCCTCTAGGCAAGTGTTTAACAGCAGTTGGCGCTCTAGGCTAGTGTTTAACAGCATATGGCGCTCTAGGCTAGTGTTTAACAGCAGATGGCCCTCTAGGCAAGTGTTTAACAGCAGTTGGCGCTCTAGGCTAGTGTTTAACAGCATATGGCGCTCTAGGCTAATGTTTAACAGCAGATGGCCCTCTAGGCTAGAGCTTAACAGCAGATGGCGCTCTAGGCTAGTGTTTAACAGCAGATGCCCCTCTAGGCTAGTGTTTAACAGCATATGGCGCTCTAGGCTAATGTTGAACAGCAGATGGCCCTCTAGGCTAGAGTTTAACAGCAGATGGCCCTCTAGGCTAGTGTTTAACAGCAGATGGCCCTCTAGGCTAGCATTTACAGCAGATGGTGCTCTAGGTTAGTGTTGAACATCAGATGGCCCTCTAGGCTAGTGTTTAACAGCAGATGGCCCTCTAGGCTAGAGTTTAACAGCAGATGGCCCTCTAGGCTAGTGTTTAACAGCAGATGGCGCTCTAGGCTAGTGTTTAACAGCAGATGGTGCTCTAGGTTAATGTTGAACATCAGATGGCCCTCTAGGCTAGTGTTTAACAGCAGATGGCCCTCTAGGCTAGTGTTTAACAGCAGATGGCGCTCTAGGCTAGTGTTTAACAGCAGATGGCGCTCTAGGCTAGTGTTTAACAGCAGATGGCCCTTTAGGCTAGTGTTTAACAGCAGATGGCCCTCTAGGCTAGTGTTTAACAGCAGATGGCGCTCTAGGTTAATGTTGAACATTAGATGGCCCTCTAGGCTAGTGTTTAACAGCAGATGGCGCTCTAGGCTAGTGTTTAACAGCAGATGGCGCTCTAGGCTAGTGTTTAACAGCAGATGGCCCTCTAGGCTAGTGTTTAACAGCAGATGGTGCTCTAGGTTAATGTTGAACATCAGATGGCGCTCTAGGCTAGAGTTTAACAGCATGATGAAGACACATACCAAGGGTTTTCTCAATCTCTTGTAACTCCACCTCTTGCTCCTCGAGCTCTTGCTTCTTTTGTGTCATAATCGGACTCTGCAGATCCATTAAATGACTATTTAAGTCAGCTTGCACGGTGGACGCCTTCTGCATCGCAACACGATACTGCTGCAGTAAATCTGTAAACACACATTCAAAAATATGAGACACAGAGGTTACACAGTATGAGATTTGGCAAACTCAAATATTCTTTTTAATATCAAGACACTAGACTGTTAACTATTATTTTAAACTAACTGACATGCCCATGCCCTCACAACAAGAAGGTCGCTGGTTCGAGTCTCGTCTGAGCCAGTTGGCATTTCTGTGTGAAGTTTGCATGTTCTCCTCATGTTGGTGTGGGTTTCCTCCAGGTGCTCTGGTTTTCCCCCACAGCTCAAACATATGCTCTATAGGAGAATTGAATTAACTAAATTGGCCATAGTGTATTAGTGTGTGTGTGTGTGTGTGTGAGAATGAGTGTGTATGGGTGTTTCCCAGTACTGGGTTGCAGATGGAAGGACATCCGCTGCGTAAAACACATGTTGGATAAGTTGGCGGTTCATTCCGCTGTTGGCGAACTCTGATGAATGAAGGGACTAAGCCGAAGGAAAATGAATGAATGACATGCCCGTATTAAGCCAAGATTTTTCACAGTACTGTGAAAATAAGATTTTCAGCTTAGATTTTTCAGGGGGTCGCCACAGTGAAATGAAAAGACAATTAATCTGGCATATGTTTTATGCAGAGGATGCCTTTCCAGCACTATGAAACACCCGCACACTCTCTCATTCACACACACATTCTTTTATTATAGCCAGTTTACCCAATTCACCTACACTGAATGTCTTTGGGCTTTGGGGGAAACTGGAGCTAATTTTGAAATTGAAATGTTTAAACATGCAAATGTTTATTATTAAATATGCAACGATTTGCATAAATGCCCTTTATTTGCAGAAATCACAATATTGGATGAATCCACGTCCAAAGGTCTTGTTCCATTATAATATCAGAATACTTGATTTAGAAAGTAAGGCAAAGAATATTAAAAAAACAAACTACTCTTAAAAAAAAAAAAAAAAAAAAAAAGTGTTCAGTGTATATTTACAATATATACACTACAAAAAACAAGCACATATTTATGTAAATAAACAGGTTGTGATGTATTTGTTAAGTTGTCATAATGTCATCTTTGCATTTAAAATGTCATAACTGAGCAAATAACATGTTATTAAGCATGCATAAAATGTCATTCACATTCATGTTTTGTGTCATGTCATGATTATCAAGGTTTCATGACATACGTCTTATAACTACCCCTTCAAGTAATGTGCTATCAATGAGATAAACTTTCTTTTTTGACATTTCAAAACACATCAGCAATTAGTTAATGACCCTGAATGGAAAATAAAAAAGTCAAAACATAAATAAATAAAAATCTGACCCGATTGTATTATATAGGATAACCAATACTAATAAATGTTATAAATTATTTATTATTCATTTAGTAAAATCATATAATCTATTGTACTGAAAAGGAGTGTGTTTATTACCTATCTGAAGGCGTGTTTGGTTGTATTCAGCAGGTAAAGGTGCTCCAAACACCTGTCCTCGAAGTTTCTCAATAGACGGAGCCTTGTTCTGCAGACCGCCAAACTTCCCATTGCAGCGGATCCGCTCTCCTTGCCGTGTTAAAATGGTAGGGCACTGTATTTTATTCTGAACCACCTACCAGATATACGATATATATAACTCACCAGATATATATAATTTAAGTTTATTTGTGTAGCGCTTTTCACAATATTTATTGTTTCAAAGCAGCTTTACAAAAGGTGCATGTTATATAATGTATTAATAATACAGCAGGGTAAATAAGTATCGAACGCGTCACTATTTTTCTCAGAAATCATATTTCTAATGGTGCCGTTGACTTGAAATGTATTCCCCTGGATGTTTGTAACACCCAAAGAAATCCACATATTCAAAGAAAACAAATCTAATTAGTTTACAAATGAAGTTATGCACAATAAAATGATGCAAAGAAAACAACTGAACACATGAAGAAAGGGAGGTGTATTCTGGCAGTGAAAGCCCAGACAGCAGCTGAAATCTCTCAGTAGTTCTTCAGTATCCTTCTGCCCTTCCTCAGTGTAAATGAAGATCAGCTGCTCCAGTCCAACATCTACATTAGTAGGAGGATGAAGATGAAGCCAGGGTGGACATTTCAGCAGGACAATGATCCAACACACAGCCAAGGAGACTCTCAGATGCTTTCAGAGAAAGAAAATCAAGCTGTAGAATGGCCCAGCCAATCACCTGACCCGAATCCAATAGAGAATGCAAAATAAAGCTCAGATTTGATAGACGAGACCCACAGAAGCATCAAGATTGTGACACTCTGTGAGAAACTTACACCTGAGCAATGCATGAGGCTTCATTCTCCATATGGGAGGCGTCTCTTTAAGGGGCCATCAAAAAAAAAAAAAAAAAAAAAAAACACTTTTATATAAAGTATTAAATAAGTTAAAGTAGTTCAGTATTTCTCCTTGTGCCAGATTTATGTTTTATTCTTGTTTGTAGTGTTTGGTTTTTTACCAACATCTGCTTCAATTCCATGTCACTTTTACATTTATTTTTCAATGTGTTCAATGCTTAATTTCCCCGCTGTATATTATTATATATTAAGGTTATTAGTTACCATAACTTTATAGGTTACTAATCACTTTAAATGCAGATTCTTCATCACTGAAACTAATAAAAAAAAATGCATCTTACCCCTCGACGATATTGATTAGCAGAATCCAGATCATCAATCAATATGGTGTCTCCAAGCAGAGTGGTGAAAACTGAAACGAGTCAGAACACACCGACATTTTCATTATTTCCCACTTTCAAATCTACAGGAGTTAAACGTCTTTACCCCAGGGTTAAAAGCAGTGTTTTGAACAATAATGCTGTTAAGCACAGTGTATAAAAAAGCACTACACACACCTAATTTCAATACAGTCTCTGTGCCAGCATATTTAGCTGTGATGAAAGAAAACCATTGCATCATTCCATTACGAAGCATTGAGTTGGAATTATTCTGGAAATATTGCGCAATGTCGAGTGCATATCAAGTTCTGACACATAACATAATACAAAACACATCCTCTACCAACATGTAGCATTTAATTACACACACTGCAAGGGAAACTATAAGTGTTGCTCCCATTCAAACAGCTCATGGATGATCTAACTGTGTCCCTCAAATGGGAATTAACGTTAATGTGTTAATTATGGGAATTATTGAGTGGAAAGTCTGTTCTGCATTTATGCCATGAGGATTTCTTACCGCAGTTTAACCATGATCCAAGATTAACACCTAGAGAGCAGTAAATGAGTGTGAAAACTGGCTTCGGCTAGCTGATGAAATGGATGGAGTTGCTTTACAAGCGCAGCAGAGGCATCTATTGCTCATGTCATGGTATGACACCCTGCTTAAATATGACCAAATAACTTCAATTCAATGATAAATAACAGAATTAAGTTCTGAATTGTTATCATGGTTCCCACTTAAATGTCAAGTGTAATGACTTTCACCAAATAAAAAGCTGAATTTCCATGATCTCTAATGAACAAAACTAAACAAATATATCTTTAATGGCATGTTTTAATGTCAGATATGTTTAGCACAAAGTGCTAAAGCCTAGTCTGGTGGTTAAATAAGACTAATATAGCACTGATTAAAACATTAAACAACTTTATTTACACAATCCTAAGATTTTAAATACATGACAAAAAAAAAAAATGTAAAAACAGCAATAAGCTTGCAAACTAATTAGCTATAGTTCAATTCTGCCAGCGACCTTTTATGCCACCTAATATAGACTACAATTTAGTCAATTATAACAGCACAATAATAATAATAATAATAAAAACAGGTCAAACATGTAAAGTAAAATTTAAATTGATAAATAAAAATATCTGATCTCCCAGAAATGTCATGACCCAATTTGTTAAAATTAATAACCTGTAACCCATTCCATAAACATGGTGTTAAATAGTTTTAATTAATATAATCAAATAATCTTTTTATTTGTTAACAGAAAAGAATCATTAAGTTAACTTATTCGATTTGTGCCTGCGCCAATAACCTAGTGGTACTGTGCGCCAACATACAGCACTGACGTGCTCACATCGACCAGAGTTCGATTCCCGCCTTTGCCAATTCCTTTCCCTCTCTCTGCTCCCAATGCTTTTCTGTCTGAAATCTTTACGGTCCTATCATAATAAAGGTGAAAAACCCTTAAAAAGTAATTATAAAAAATTTTTAAAAACTAATTTTTCATTGACTTTAGAGTTAAATCAACTTTGTTTTACTAATTTTTATATCAGGAGCTGTTTATCATCTGCCGGCAGGGGCGTCGCTAGACACAATTTACTGAGACACATGCCCCAGTAAAAATCACCAGGGCCCCAGTAAATGCTTTGAGTTATGATTTACTTCATATGCAAGTGTATTTATTAGGAGTGGTAATACCAAAATAAAGACGTTATTCTCTATGTCCAACCGAACCAATGCTGGTGAAAGCAATATAGTTTAATCAAAAAGCAAACTGACGCGTCTCTGCAAGTGCGCAGAAAACAATACCCGTGCGCCTCACACATCACTCCTGCTGGACCCTGATGCGCTGCTCTTCTCCCGGTGCAAGTCCCGGTTGTGAACATGCACGTTGATAAAAACTTGCTGCTCACATGCCGCTCAGCCGTTATGAAACAGACATAACAGCCCAACAAACAAACAATGTTGCTTCAACGTAGCGACCTTCCTACAATCTTGTAAAAAGGCTATACGGAGGTGACGGCAAATTAAAGTTTAAATAATATAATTACCAAGCGTCCCTTCTGATAGATTTTGCAACTTGTATGAAGTAAAAAGGAGGGATGATGAGTCAGGGAGGTAAAATAAACCTAAATCTCGGCCATGTGTCAAGTCTAAGACAACAGATAATTACATTAAACATCTTTTCTTGCATTCTATTGAATTGTCTATAGAATTTTATTCAAATGAGATCATTATTCATGCAAAAGACTTCTTAAATGATATCAGCATCACTCCAGTTGTGTCTTGACGTTGCTTTTCAGTTACATTTAGGCTTAATTCCTGTTATTTATTTAGATTAATAATTGTAAAACAACAATAATTCATTCATTCATTTTCTTGTCGGCTTAGTCCCTTTACTAATCCGGGGTTCGCCACAGCGGAATGAACCGCCAACCGCAGAGGATGCCCTTCCAGCCGCAACCCATCTCTGGGAAACATCCGCACACACATTCACACACACACACACTCATACAGTACGGACAATTTAGCCTACCCAATTCACCTGTACCGCATGTGTTTGGACTGTGGGGGAAACCGGAGCACCCGGAGGAAACCCACGCGAAGGCAGGGAGAACATGCAAACTCCACACAGAAACGCCAACTGAGCCGAGGTTCGAACCAGCGAACCAGCGACCTTCTTGCTGTGAGGCGACAGAACTACCTACTACGCCACTGCCTCGCCCAACAACAATAATACTTTTATTTATTTATTTATAATAATAAAAAATTGTATTAAAAAGAGATTTTTTTACTGGGGGTGCGTGCCCCAGTACAGCTTTATGTCTAGCAACGCCCCTGTCTGCCGGTCTGTTTGTAAGTGTCTGTGACTTGCCTTTATTGCAGCTTTCTGCATATTCAGGAAAAATGAGCAGATCTTTGACAAACACAGGATCCCCAAGTGGACGGAAGAGAGCCGAGCCGTTCCTGATGTGAGGAAGACGCCTAAAACACATGGAGTAAAAAACATGTTAGAAAAGAGCAAACTAAGATCAAATAAATACAATAAACCAGTTCAAAACACTCTGAGGCATCTATCATCGTTAAATATGAGAATTGGGAGGGAAATATTTTTTTAAAAAAGTATTAAAAGTTTATAGATGCATTTAAGAAAAAATTAAAATGTAAATTTAAAATGTAAATAATAATACCGTCTCGACACTGTGAACAGAGAAGAAGTCTGGTTTGCATTTCCAGCAATAAGTCAGATTTGTTTGCAGTGCATGTTGGACATTTTTATGGACAGAATTTTTAAAGTGCAGCTTTGGGCTGGAGGGGGTCCGGTTTGGGGACCACAGGATTTATCTCAGTTATTCACAGACAATGTTGTTCTGTTGGCATCTTCGAACATGTATCTTCAGCATGCACTGGAGTGGTTTGCTGCCGAGTGTGACGCGGTTGGGATGAGAATCAGCACCTCCAAGTCCGAGGCCATGGTGCTCCACTGGAAAAAGGTGGTTTGCCATCTCCAGGTTGGAGGAAAGTCCTTACCCCAGGTGGAGGAGTTCAAGTATCTCTGGGATTTGTTCAGGAGTGAGGGAAGGATGGAACGTGTGATTGACAGGCGAATTGGTGCAGCGGCAGCAGTAATGGGGTTGATGTACTGGTCCGTTGTGGTAAAGAAGGAGCTGAGTCGAAAGGCAAAGCTCTCGATTTACCGGCCAATCTACTAGAGCTGTGAACCTACACTAGTCTCACGGTTCGGTTCGGTTACGATTATCATGCCATTGATTCGGTTCAATTCGATATTTTGGTGCATCACAGTGCATTGACGATGCTTTTCATACACAGTTTTATATTTTCTTCACAGCAGCAGTTCTTGTATTAAAATGTATGAATATATTTATATTTATATATTATTTGTAATACAATTTTGTCGTTTAATACAAACAGTCAGATATACAAACTGTAACTTTAAACAAAACGAGCATTAAGCAAATAATATAAACAAATATAAACATCCAGCTCAATTTCTGATCCTTGTCTAGTTCTCTTACACCCCTTTGATTGGTCACACCCTCAACAAAAACGGTTGCTATTGGCTCTTGCGCGCTGCGCTCTTCAGATAAGTGACACTGATAAGCAGCAGGCGGCAGCGGCGATCTCACAGCTGATGCATCATAGACACGGTGGAGAAAACTCTGCAGACACGCGCTCGTTTCTGTATCCAAACGTAATGCTGTAAAACAGCTGAGACTAGAAGAAAAGCCATGCCAGCAGGTCAAATAGGCCACTGTGTGTGTGTGTGTGTGTGTGAGAGAGAAAGAGAGAGAGACAGAGCGAAAGCGAGAGAGAGAGAGAGAGAGAGAGAGAGAGAGAGAAATAGAGTAGGCTACTTTCATTCTCTCGATCTCAGTGAAATAGGGGCTATTGTTGTATATGTCAGTGAAAGACTGATTCAGCAAACAAACACAGTGAAATTGTGCACAGTTTATGAGTTTTAATTAGTTAAAGCGCTGTAAATACTCGCGATCTCGCGACAGATCGCATATGAGGTAAATGACGTCAGTAATATCCGGTTCTGCATCGCGATGCACTGAAGTAACGATTAATTTTGACACCCCTACAATCTACAATCCTACTCTCACCTATGGTCATGAGCTTTGGATCATGAACGAAAGGTCAAGATCTCAGATACAAGCGGCCGCAATGAGTTTCCTTCGAAGGGTGGCAGGGCGCACTCTTATGAATAGGGTGAGGAGCTCTGACACCTTGGAGGAACTCAGAGTAGAGCCGCTGCTCTTCCATATTGAGAGAAGTCAGCTGAGGTGGCTCGGGCATCTGTTTCGGATGCCTCCTGGACGCCTACCTAGGGAGGTGTTTCAGGCATGTCCCACGGGGAGTAGGCTTCAGGGAAGACCCAGGACACGCTGGAGGGACTATGTCTCTCGGCTGGCCTGGGAACGCTGGAGGAAGTGTCTGGGGAGAGGGAAGTCTGGGGTTCTCTCCTAAGACTGCTGCCCCACGACCCGGCCCCGGAAAATCGGCAGACATGAATAAATGAATGAATGAATGGATGAATAAAATGTTAATATATGACCTTAGAGACTCCCAATGTACCTCTATTGACAGTCTCCGCTTCCTGATTCATGCATCCAAGTCTAATTTTCATCTTATTTTGATGCATATCATCCCAGTATAGCACACTTAATAAAAAAAAATGCTACATATACCCACATACACATATAAACACACGTCTGTCATTTGGCTATTCTTGACAGTTCGTGCCATCTTGTGACTAAATAATATTAAGTAGTTAGTATAGGGGGGCGGCACAGTGGCTTAGTGGTTAGCACTGTTGTCTCACAGCAAGAAGGTCGCTGGTTCGAGTCTCGGCTGGGTCAGTTGGCATTTCTGTGTGGAGTTTGCATGTTCTCCCTGTGTTGGCGTGGGTTTCCTCCAGGCGCTCTGGTTTTCCCCACAGTCCAAACACATGCGCTATAGGGGAACTAGGTAAACTAAATTGGCTGTAGTGTAAGAGTATGTGTGAATGTAGGATTGTATGGGTGTTTCCCGCTGCGTAAAACATATGCTGGAATAGTTCACACACTTTAGTACAACTGCACAATAACGCTTGGAGGATCTGCTTCAACATGAAATCAGTGTGTTAGAATAAATGTGTACTTGTCGTAGGGCTTCCAGAAGATCGTCTCGAGGGGCAGGACCTGTTGACGTCCGTGTGTGTCATCGTAGATCCTCTTGGCTGCAGATGTGGTTTCAGTGACCACACAGTCCATGTCGCCCAGCAGATGCCAAGATATCACCTTCGCCACATTGTCATCCTTCACCAGCGCCAGATGAGCGACCTGCACATCAAACAATATACTTACTATCAGTGTTTCAGCAAGCATGAAACTTTTTAGGATTTCTCAATCCTAAATAATATTAATAATAATAATACCTTACATTTATACAGTGCTTTGCGGGGCACTCAAATTGCTTTACACATGTTTGGAGGGGATCTCCTCATCCACCACCAGTGTGCAGCATCTACCTGACATATTGCACCAGACACCACACCACACACCAGCTGATTGGTGGAGAGGAGACAGAGGGATGAAGCCAATTATCATATGGGGAGGGTTAGGAGGCCATGATGGAAATTTGGCCAGGATGCCAGGGTTAAACCCCGACCCCTTTTTAAAGGACATCCTGGGATTTGTAATGACCACAGAGAGTCGGGACCTCGGTTTAACTGTGAATTTGTGACTGAATTTCCTGATATAAATATTAAATCAAGCACACACCTTTCCCAGAACTTGTGGGCTGCCTCTGAAGGGGTCAGGCACAGTGCATTTCCGTCTGGGCTGATTCTCCATTTTGGTTAAATTGGCTTTCTTGGCATTTATTAAATCCTCTATTTCTGAAACCTGGAAAGATTCAATCAAACAAACAAGCATCCATGCTGCTGATACACGTCTCTTCAAAGAGCCAACAACAAGAAAACAGTGAATGACCGTGTTCAGACTTACAGTGGATAGTGCTGAGATGCCATTTCTCTTGAGCTCTGGTTTGAACTCATTTAGTTTGTGCAAAGCATCTCGAACCTGGCCTGTAGAGAACAACAAATGCATGCAGGAAATACATGCATAAACATCTATCAAATCTAAATGCAAAAACAAAAATATGCACAACAAACAAACAAATAATTCATTCATAAATGCACAAATAAAAACATAAATACACTAATGCATATTTAAACAACAAACACAAAATAAATGCATAAAATGAAAAAAAAAATCTAAACATAAAAACAAATTAATGTACGACAAACAAGTAATAAGCATGCATAAATAAACAAAAACCAATGCACATATCCATAATTAAACAAACACACAAACAGATAAATTACTGCATGTAAGCATCATATAAATCCATGCATACATTAATAAATAAATGCATGCATAAATTAATAAATAAATGCATACACACATTAATAAATAAATGCATACATAAATCAATGAATAAATGCATGTATAAATTAATAAATAGATGCATGTGTAAATTAATAAATAAATGCATGTGTAAATTAATAAATAAATGCATGCATAAAATAATCAATAAACTCATACATAACGTAACAAAAAAATGCATGCTTAAATTAATAATTAAATGTACACACACATTAATAAATAAATGCATACATAAATCAATGAATAAGTGCATGCATAAATTAATAAATAAATGCATGTGTAAATTAATAAATAAATGCATACACACATTAATAAATAAATGCATACATAAATCAATGAATAGGTGCATGCATAAATTAATAAATAAATGCATGTGTAAATTAATAAATAAATGCATACATAAATTAATAAATAAATGCATACATAAATCAATGAATAAATGCAAGCATAAATTAATAAATAAATGCATACATACATTAAGAAATAAATGCATACATGAATCAATTAATAAATGCATGCATAAATTAATAAATAAATGCATGTGTAAATTAATAAATGCATACATAAATTAATAAATAAATGCATGCATAATTTAATAAATGATGGCATGCATAAATTCTAAATAAATGCATGCATAAATAAATGAATAAATGCATGCATAGATTAATGAATACATACATGCATACATTAATAAATAAATGCATGCATAAATTAATGAATTAAGTGCATGCATAAATTAATAAATGAATGCATGCATAAATTAATAAATAAATACATGCATAAATTAATAAATAAATACATGCATAAATTAATAAATAAATGCATGCATAAATTAATAAATAAATGCATGCATAAATTAATAAATAAATGTTTGTGTAAATTTATAAATAAATGCATACATAAATGACTAAATAAACTCATACATAAATTACTAAATAAATGCATGCATAATTTAATAAATGAATACATGCATAATTTAATACATAAAGGCAAGCATAAATTAATTAAAGGCATGCGTAAATTAATAAATAAATGCATGCATAAATACATAAATAAATGTATGTGTAAATTAATAAATAAATGCATACATGTGTAAATTAATAAATAAATGCATGCGTAAATTAATAAATAAATGTATGTGTAAATTTGTAAAATAAATGCGTGCATAAATTAATAAATAAATGCGTGTATAGATTAATAAATAAAGGCATGTGTAAATTAATAAATAAAGGCATGCATAAATTAATAAATAAAGGCATGAATAAATCAATAAATAAATGCATGCATAATTTAATACATGAATGCAAGCATAAATTATTTAATAAATGCATGCATGAATGAATAAATACATCTATAAATTAATGAATAAATGCATGCATATATTAATGAATAAATGCATGCATAAAGTAATAAATAAATGCGTGCATAAATTAATAAATAAATGCGTACATAGATTAATAAAGGCATGCATAAATTAATAAATAAATGCATGTATAAATCAATAAATACATGCATGTGTAAATTAATAAATAAATAAATGCATACATTAATAAATAAATGCATGCATATTTTAATACATAAATGCATGCATAAATTGATGAATAAATGCATGCATAAATGAATTAATAAATGCATGCATAAATTAATGAATAAATGCATGCATAGATTAATGAATAAATGCATGTATAAATTAATGAATAAATGCATGCATAGATTAATGAATACATGTGTGCATAAATTAATAAATAAATGCATGCATAAATTAATGAATAAATGCATCCATAAATTAATAAATAAATGCGTGCATAAATTAATAAATAAATGTGTGCATAAATTAATAAATAAATGCATGCATACATTAATAAATAAATGTGTGCATAAATTAATAAATAAATGCGTGCATAAATCAATAAATAAATGCATGAGTAAATTAATAAATAAATGCATGCATAAATCAATAAATAAATGCATGCATAATTTAAAAAATAAATGTGTGCATAGATTAATAGATAAATGCATGTGTAAATAAATAAATAAATGCATGCATAAATCAATAAATAAATGCATGAATAAATTCATAAATAATAAACATACACAAACCAAATAATAGTAAACAAAATAATATAAAAATAAATAAAAGCATAAAGTTACATACACTCTAGTTCAGATATCAGTTGTTGATTGGTGTCGAAGAACTCTCTGAACATCTTAATAGTTTGGGAAAGACGGTCCTTCTTCTTGCTGAGAGTCACAATGACTTTCTGATGATCTGCATCTGTAATAGGTTTAAAAAAAAATCTGAATATAGTGTGCTGAACATCTACACTCTCTAAACAATAAACATCATGCTAGTTTGACAAATTAACAGTTGCAGTTCCCCAAACACTTATCATTAGCTTTCAATGGAGTGAATTTTAGCCCCATTGAGTCGTGTTCGGTCCACTGCTCATAGCAGAAGGCAGCCAATCAGATTTCTTTATGCAAATATACAAGTGCCAACGGGCGAAGCAGTGGCGCAGTAGGTAGTGCTGTCACCTCACAGCAAGAAGATTGCTGGGTCACTGGTTCGAGCCTCGGCTCAGTTGGCGTTTCTGTGTGGAGTTTGCATGTTCTCCCTGCGTTCGCGTGGGTTTCCTCCGGGTGCTCCGGTTTCCCCCACAGTCCAAAGACATGCAGGACAGGTGAATTGGGTAGGCTAAATTGTCTTTAGTGTATGAGTGTGTGTGTGTGTGAATGTGAGTGTAAATGTTTCTCAAAGATGGGTTGCGGCTGGAAGGGCATCCGCTGCGTAAAAACTTGCTGGATAAGTTGGCAGTTATCCGCTGTGGCGACCCCGGATTAATAAAGGGACTAAGCCGACAAGAAAATGAATGAATGAATGACTGACTAGTGCCAACTACATATTTCACTTTTAGTGTTAAAGGGGCTTAAGGTTTTTAAATTCTTACAAACAAGCAAAGCCCAAAAAGTAACAGAATGCAGTACTTTCCTGAAAAAGTAACAAAGTAATGCATTTAGTTGCCTATTTTAAGAAGTAATGTAAGATCATACAGTATTACTTTTAAAAGTAACTGTTCCCCAACACTGGTAACCAGAGCTTTACATTAACACCCGCCAAATGCGGGTAGATTTCGGCGGTGGCGGGTAAGACAGACACTCCCACTAGCCACTTTGGCTGGTTAAAAATCATTTTCCCAGATAATAAATCTTTAAAGCAGGGTTCGACAATAAGGATGGTCCAATATGCATGCACAGGCGATCGAGAAGCAACACGACTGACAAAAATAATTGCGTTCGCAACTTCGAGCGAGCAAAGCAGGTGAATACCGAATGAGAGGATAATCACTCGCGCTAACAGCTGAGGTGATACGCGCGACTGTTTATAACGTGTGCGCGCTCCTGTTTCCTTTTGTGAAGCAACTGTGTCTAGAAACACAACTGATCCGATCGGTTCTCTTTCAAAAACACTGAACAAAAAGGGAGGAACATGCACCCACAGTCCTGCTGCTTTCAAGAGTTCCAGAGTTGACTTATTGTAAGCAGCGCCATTTGCTTTCGGTTTAACCATTCTTTGAAAAGATAATTTATGGGTCTATCATCCTTTCATTATCACACAGTATGTTTTTTACCTGCTTTGTTTTGCATTAATATGGTTTAATTATCATTTTTTTTACAATAACATGGCTTTAATGGGAGAATAACTCCCCATTTATGTGTAGTTAACTGGTGATCTGGGACCTTCACACTGCAAAAAATGCTTTTCTTGCTTAGATTTTTTTGTCTTGTTTCTAGTCTAAATATCTAAAAATTCCTAAATCAAGAAGAATTTTCTAGACAAACAAAACACATTGTCTCGTTTTGAGAAATAATATGCCAATATTAAGTGAGTTTTTCCTTAAAACAAGCAAAATAATCTGCCAATGGGGTCAGCAAAATAATCTTACATCAAAAGAAAAAACAAGATTATTTT